GCGACTCGCCCTCCAACCACTCTCTAGGCGTCTTTTCCGGCGCTTCATCCCCCTCAGCTCCTCGGAAAACCAAGGGGCCGGGCAGGTTCGGCGTCGGGTCAGAGGCCGCAAAGGCACGACTCGGTCCAGAGCACCGGCGGCTGTCCTATCCCAGGCAGCCACCAGATCTTCAGCCGAGTCGTGTGCCAGAGTTTCAGGAACTGGCCCAAGCTCCCTCTGGAACCTATCAGGATCCATCAGGCGCCTGGGGCGGAACCACCTGGTCGGTTCCGCCTCCCTGCAGTGGGGTGCAGCGGTCGAAAGGTCCAGTCTCAGGAGAGAATGGTCCGACCATGACAGGGGTTCAATAACTATATCCCCTATATCCAGACCACTCTGCCACTGACCAGAGATAAAAACCAAGTCCAGAGTGTGTCCTCCCACGTGAGTGGGGCCATGAATTAATTGTGTCAGGTCCATGGCTGTCATGGAAGCCATAAACTCCCGAGCCATCCCAGACGCCCCACCGGTAGATGGCAGGTTGAAATCCCCCATGACCAAAAGTCTGGGGGTATCAACCGCCACCCCGGCAATAACGTTGAGAAGCTCGGGCAGGGCCGCTGTCACGTGGCAGGGAGCCAGGTACGCGATCAGCAGGCCCACCTGCATCCCATGGCCCCACTTCACCAGGAGAGACTCACATCCGGCTATCTGAGGTACAGTGGCCTCCCTCGGATCAAGACCTTCCTTTATAACGACCGCCACCCACCCACCCCTGCCCTGGGCCCTTGGCTGATGGAATGCGCAGAAACCTGGTGGGCGCATCTCTACGAGGGGGACCCCCCCCCTCTTGGCCCAACCAGGTCTCTGTAATACCTGCCAGGTCCACACACCCCTCCTGTATTAGCTCACAAATGCGGGGGGCCTTATTAACCACGGACCTGGCATTGCACAACATCAGTCTAAGGCCTGGGCTCTGAGACTCTGGACAGCCGGGGAGACGAGAAGAGTCATGGGGGCCGAGGCATGCCACCGCTTGGAGATAGCGGGTGCGTGCCCCCACCACCTGATGTGGCCCCCTACTCCCGCCATATCTGCCCCTCCCAACCACGGTCCTGATAGAACTGCCCTCCACCCTATCCACACTGAGCTCCTCCTACTTTTGGCTATCCCACACTTTCCCCACCACATACACATATACACACAAACACACACACAGACTGGCTTAGGGTTAATGATTAATGGTGAGCAGCTATATTAACAGCACAGTTAATTTCAGTAACTATGTCCTAATCACAACCAATACTGTATATCACACCCATCTACTGTATCCACAGCAGACAAACATCTTTTCAGATATGACATTCTAATGCTAGTGGCAGGCAAAAAATAAATGTGAGTCTTTGCCCATTTTAAACAACTAATTATGGGTTATAAAGAAGCATCACATAAACTTAATATGATATACCCATAAAATCTTACTCAAATATATGGGATACTGAGACTCATCCAAAGGCTCCATAATAGATGCACCCAACCCGGAGCAACCTCCACCTCAAGGCATCATTCACTCATGATGGGTAACATCACATCAATGAAAACTACTTCGTTGCTTCTCATTTACATAGGACTATAATCCTGAATCTCTCAAACTAGAGAAATCAAAACATAACAACACCAAACATGCAAAATTCTCTCTCCCTTTTGCTAAGCAGGCAATGTAGAGCGAGAGAAACATTTATGGCACATTCTGTGCAATTGATACTTTCACCCACTTTATGCAATGCTAACCTTCTTTTCTTTCCTTGGTACAGTATGTGCTCATACTGTGTACTAAGTGTACTAAGTGAAGTAAGATACAGATAGTCCTTAACAGACAACAGTTCATTTAGTGACTGTTCAAAATTACATGGCACTGAAAAAAGGGCCCTAAAACCAGTGGTGAAATCCACTTACCTTCACTACTGGTTCGGGAACGGGAGCGCACAGGAGTGTGCACGCACCTCTTCTGCGCATGTGCAGAGGGTAAAAAATGGGACATAATGACATCCCGGCAGGTGGGCAAAGCCTCCCACTGCCGGCACTACCGATTCACGTGAGCCGGATAGATCTGGCCGGATTTCACCACTGCCTAAGTCCATTTTTCACATTTGCGACCTTTGTAGCATCCCCATGTTCAAGTGATCAAAATTCAGATGCTTGGCAACTGATTTATATTTATGACGGTTGCCGCGACCCAAGGTTATGTGATCATCTTTTGCAAACTTTGGATGAGCAAAATCAATGGAGAAGCCAGATTCACTTAACAACTGTCTTAGTAACTTATCAACTGCACTGATTCACTTAACAACTGTAGCAAGAAAGATCATAAAATGGGGCAAAGCTCACTTAACAAATGCCTCATTTAACAACAGAAATGTTGAGCTCGATTGTGCTCATAAGTCGAAGACTAACTGTATAGCACAGTCACTACACAGAAAAGATGAAAAAAGTTTCTAGAGGAAGTGTAAGAAACATGAGTTCCTTCAAGGTAATTAGCTGTTGTGGTTGGTTATTGATGGAATTTGAAATTATGACAGTCCCCATACTTAGCTAATCCTTACTGCAATTACCCCAAAGAACAGTGATTCATCTTCCTCTATTTCTCAATTACAATTCTGACTGATGATGCAATCAGAGATGTGAGACATTAGTGGTTTTAAAGCAGAAAAAGCCTGAGAGAAAAAGAGAGAGTAGATCTCTGCCATTGTATAAAGTATAGGCACTTTGCAACTACATTTTCTACCATGTGAATAGCTTTTGCTGCTATGGGTAATCCTCATGATAACTAGTGATCATTCTAAGTTATGTCAGATCCCACAAAAACTATTTATGGACAGTTTTCAAAATTACAGCAGCTGCAGCAACCCTGTAATCACGTGAACAAAATTTGGGTGGATTTGCTCTTACAACTAACTGCAGAAATGCTGATGCTGCCTTCCTCCATCCCGCCCTACTAGGACCCCAAAGGCCTTGGGCCCTGCCAAGTATCTGATGACTTGCAGGTATAATGAGCTAGACAGGAAAGGAAATGGAAATTGCTGATGTGAAGACCCAGAAGCACAATGTAGGGAGGTCTCCATCCCAAGGCCAAAATCCTGACACTGTACATCAGCCAGAAAGTGGGTAAGGTCTCAACTCTCGTAGTGCCAAAGCCATTGTCCTGGATGAAACCCAGAGCATCCAGGAGGACAACAGTAAGATGGCATCCAAAGATGAGTTGCTGAGGCCGCAGCAGACATGGGAGGTAAATCAAACAGAGAAGTGCCATGGTAAATCATCGAATGTACCATTGACAGATAGCTGGGGTGGTAGACATTGGGAAATCCTACAGTGTCTAGAAAGGGTTAGACTAAAAGACAGCACTGAGTCACTGATCATAGCTCAGATACCAAAAACCAGATCCATAGAAGCAGGGGTCTACCATGCTAGACAGGACTCAAGACAGTCTAATATATAGTGGCAGAATTTAAGATGCAGACAGAGAGAGCATACGCTGAATGGCATAATTAAGTAGCTGGCATTGTGTACAGGAATATCTCCACAGTTGGTGTATGAGCTAGACCTTCCCACATTCAGATGGGAGATTCCACAGCAGGTTGTGGAGAATAAGAGGGCTAAGAAAGATCCCCTGGAACTTCCATATCCAGACAAATAGGTAGATGCTAGCCAATCAATTAAATAGCATGTTCATAGACAAGAACCAGAAGATAGCAGTGGTAATAGATGTAGTGGTGCCAAGTGACATCAAGAAGAAGTAGTTTGAGAAACTTGAGAACTAAGAGTGGATGTGGAAAGTAAAGGCCAGAGCGGTCTCAGTGGTGGTAAGAGCACTCAGGGGTCTGACTCCTAATCTGGGAGAGTAGATCCAACAGATCCCAAGAACAATTTCAGAGCTCTCTGTCCAGAAGAGTGCACTGCTACAAACAGCTAAGATCCTGCTCAGATCCCTCAGACTCCCAGGCTCCTATAAGGAACGTGTTCTGTCCCCGTCTCCACACACACACACAAACACAGCCAGCCGAGGGTTAAGAAAGCACTTGGCACACACACAGGTTGTTATCAGAAACTTGGTAGCAATACGAGCACCGACTGCCAAGTGCTTTTACTTCAATAAACGGAATATCCCTTCACCAGATAAACAGAAATACACACATTTTATAAATAGTCCAGTTCCAAACAAGAAACCTTTTGGCAGCTTTAAGCGTTGTTCAAGTGACTAGCCAGAGTTAGTTTTTGTCCGTCACAGAGTCTTAAATGGCCACCACATTCTCTTATATAGTCTCTGGGGTGTGGTCCAGTGACTCAGTTATAATCCCTGGCACGCCTCCTTAACTGCTGCAACCATTTATCACGCCTTCGTTGACGTGGATCCAGGAACGACAGATCACCTCCCTCGCTCTCATCAGAGACACCTGGCTCCTGACTAATCTCCTCTTCCTCGGCCGGCACTTGAGGCAGTGCCAGAGGGGAGGGGCCTGGAGAAGGAGGCCTGGCCGATTCCTCTTCTTCATGTTCGGAGCCTTCTTCCTCCGATGAGATAGGCTCGGAGGGCGGGGCCACAACAGAATGAACGAAAAAGGAATAATGGACACAGAGACAAATATACTGTACATGCATATAGTTTTATCAAAAGCTTTAAAAATAAGAGTAAAAATAATACAAATTATAATAGAGTAAGAAGGAAAAAAGAAAAAGGAAGAAATAAAATGGGAAACTAAAGTGATAGGAAAAAAGTGATAGAAAAAAAATAGAAAAGCACAAACACATAAAAAGTGGCTTCCAATCTTCTTTACAACAGTTATATGTGCAATTATAGGAATCATCACTCCTCTTTTTTTTTCTCCAAGTGACATCACTGCATAGTTAAATTTGATTGGCTATTTACTGGTATAATCACAATTACCAAGTAATCCTTGCAATGGATCACTCCCATAAAGAAGTACTTTGAAAAATATGGAAAACCAACAGTAGTCCATGAAAACATGGCTACAACCAGAGTCTCTAAACTATGCTGAACAGAGCTGGGGCAGTATATCCCTACTCATCATATTATTCCTTTTTAGGGTAAGTAACATTATGCAAAACAAAGCACAGAAAAAGCTGATAAATAGTAAGCAAAGACATCTAAATATGAATCAGAAAGTACAACAATTTAATATCTACAAGACATTTACTATACTTCTCCATATTCTTTTACCATTGCTCCCATTCATCCACCGAGTCATATCTTGCCTTTTACTCTTTAAACTTTTTACCTCTTTTTTTTATGATGATTTGATTAGGTGCACTCAATTATGACTTCTTGGTTATCTATTTTTGACCCATTCACTTTTTCTTAATATTCTTAGTGTACTTACCATAATATTATTAACATCTGCTGCTTGCAATTACTGCAAGTTCAAATCTCACCAGGCTCAAGGTTGACTCAGCCTTCCATCCTTTCAAAGGTAGGTAAAATGAGGACCCAGATTGTCTGCAGCCCCAGCTCAATAGAATCACATCCACTCGATTCTGGGCTTTTTTCTTTTCTAGCAGACAGCAAGCTCTTCCTGCTAGGTGGGAGACCTATATAGATCTATTTCCAGCTCGTTTGCTTTCATCAGTAGGCCATACCCACATCTTATTTATCTTCCCTGTAAAGGTATAGTATCTATTTTCTTACTTCTTCATAGGGTTTATGTGTGTTTTTCCTCTAGCCAGGTTTTCCCTACGTAACCAAGGTTTTTCTGCAGCCCCAGCTCAGTAGAATCACATCCCACTCGATTCTGGACTTTTTTCTTTTCTAGCAGACCGCAAGCTTTTCCTGCTAGGTGGGAGACCTATATAGATCTATTTCCAGCTCGTTTGCTTTCATCAGTAGGCCACACCCACATCTTATGTATCCTCCCTATAAAGGTATAGTATCTATTTTCTTACTTCTTACTACTTCTTACTTACTTACTTCTTACCACAAGCAACAAACATTCCTGTTTGTTGAATCTAACTTTCAATAGATGAGTACAAATACAGAATAGATCACATTCTTCAGCTTTTGGGATACCTACCTTTGTCAAAGGCAAAGCAACATGATCCCCTCCCAAAGATTATTTTAGCTAATGTATAATGCCTGTCAGGGTAGGCCTATGTTGAAGGTCCTAGGCAGGTCACCAAAAGTTTTTATATAATATACTACTGCAATTACTCATACGTCTTATTAAGCATTTAATTGTTTCTCCTTCTTACGTAGTATTATCAAATACTCTTCCATTACACCCTTCTTATACAACAGGCTGAGATAAAAGGAGTGATACCCCACATGTCAGGCTACACGAGGAGACTGCTGATTAAAAAAAAAAAAGAACAGAGAGAAAAGGAGGAGGAAGCTCAGAGATTTGTATTTAGAAATCCTAGGCCTTGCCCAGCCATGCTATGCCCAACAATACAAAAAGGAAGCCATTTTATACATTAAAATACCAAGATAAGAAAGTGTATGTTTTAAATCTTCTTGCTGTTCCAATGGAATCACCAGTCACCATTCTCACTCCTTTTCTGGTAACTAAGTGGCTTTTTGACATAGTGTGATTTTTTTCTTAAAAATGGAACAATTCCTATAACAAAATTGAAAATTGCAATTGAATTTTTTTATTCCCAAGTTTGTATTTTACTAAGAAAACCTTTTTTTAACAAATTATGAAGGAAACCACAACCTTGCAATCAACCACTGGTAATTTTATTTATCTTCAAATTAAGACATGAATGTAAATGTCATAGAACTCTGAATTACAAGACGGGAAAATTTCTTTTCCAAAAATTTTTTTTTTGTGCTGTGTGATTGTTTGTGTTACATGTACTGGATGCATGGCAGAGAATCTGAGATAAAAAATATTTACAGATGATGCAGTCTTTTAGATATCACATCATAATTCATTCTCTGCAAAAAAAACCAACACTATCTCATTTGAGCATAGCAATATGTTATTTTATCATCGTCAATACTGTGAATGGCCACTTTGTTCATCTCCACTAGTACATAATGGAATCCTATTTGTGAAAAACAAACATAATTTTCCCAATGAGAAAAGTGCACATGACTAAGATCGAATTAGTCCATGGGATAGTTTGAGGCAAGCGTTGCTCCCTTGCTCTCACTCCACATAGCAAACTCAATCAGATGGCATCTAAATTCCTTTTAAAAATGTCTTGTCCTTGGGAAGCAAGTTTGGGAGATCAGGAGCAGGATTATTCTGTACAACACCTTGCTTCTGCTTTCCGCATATCTAACATCTGAGAGGACAGCCTCATTCAACCTAATGTAGAACCAGCCCAGAGATCTAGCCAACTCAGACATATAACTATGTTTAACACTGTTCTCTTTGCTTCCTGTTGGCATTAGTCATATTGATTGCTGTCACACAACTTACTTAACATTTGGTAGGTTCACATAATACTGTGAACTGTAAACACACCAAACATTCACTCATACACACTAATCCAAATCCATACAAAAAACACCTAACAATAAAGAAACTTAGTGTCTTTAAGTGATTCTCACTGCCATGGGGGGCAAAATATAATTTTGCAGCTGCAGTTGTAACTTTGCTAAGGCCTTTAGAGACCTGGCTTTTACTCTTCACGTTGCCAAAATTTCATTTTGCAATCTAGCTGAAGGAGATGGAAGTACACAACCTTCTGAGCAACAGGGAAATACCTCAAGGTTGCACGATTGTAGATGGCATGGTTTGGCAAGGCTCATACATTAACAAACCAATCTCGGGTGATCTGTTGTTTCCCCTCCTTCCTTGATGTGCCCCTTTGTTTCCTCTGTGTGAGCTATTACACAAGCAAATTGAAGGACCAGCAGTGTTCGTCTTCTTTGCTTGTAAATAGTTGATCCAAAGGAGAGAGGAAATAAATAGACATAAATAGCAGCAACAGAGAGAGGCTGAACTCACTGAGGACATTTTGCTCAAACATCTTAGACTAAATATGTAAAAAATTGCACTGCTCATACAAGTGTTGCTGTGGTCAGCAAAGATCCTACTTAAAGTCCTGTTGTTATCAGAACTATATCGCTAACATATGGAATATATGTGCTCAGAAGGACCAAGTCTAGTGTTTTCAAAATGGACAAAAATTCACTTGGTGAAAGCTTACTAAACGAGAGATTTAATTGCTATGCAGAGCCTCTGAGGAGAACATTTGGTATGGGTGAAGGTCCCCACATTGTGAATCTGTCATACGCTTCACGTTTCTACTGACAATTTACCGTATGATTTAGTAGCACCTTTGAATTTGATACACGTTTGCTTAGAGGGGGAAAAAAACTTTAGTTTATTGATTAAAAACAATCCTTTTTATTTATTTATTTTATTTGCTGATCACTCCTGAATCATGATCATATTGTCAGCATCCTCAGATTCATACACAATTCCAAACAAGATTTATTAACTTTCAAATCATAGTTTCACATGTAAAACATCAAGACTAAAGGGATCTCGAGATCAGCTAGTCTATCTGGTTTTTCTAAAGAAAGAAATAGTATAATAGAGTTGTTTGCCTACAGTACACATTGTACACATTTCTTTTGTCTTACTGTCAGCTGTATGCCAAACGTTTTCCATACTTAGAAGAATTATGAAAGCTTGAAAAAAGCTGTTAGGCCACAGGTAATAGGTCTAGCAGACATTACATCACATTATGGCTTGGCATAACAGGAATGAGCCCTTAGTGCTCTTTTCAATATTATAAATGACAATTAATTGTTGTGGCTACCATAATTCTTCTTCCTGCCAATATATAGCCACAGGAAAATGTTGAGTACAATTTAGTGTGCAGTCTCTATTTACACAAATAAATGGGAATCAGGAATGGCCCAACAAGTTTCATGAGCCAGCTGTATATTCTAGAATCTTTCCAATTTTCTTGATTTAAAACAAAGTCAAATGAATATTAGTTCACATTGCACTATGTTTGAAATCTGCTTTTAAAAGCTTTGTCTCATAACTCCAAATGCAACAATTTAACCAAATGCACATTTAATTTACCCTAAAGTAAATCCCACTAATACAAAACAAAAAGAAGCTTAAATCGGTGTTAAGAAGCAACTGGATGCTTTAAGTAATCAAACTCGTTACAGCCAAAATACTGTCTTCCTCAGAATACATGCTCACAACCATTCTTTGATGGAAATCATTGCTTTGAGGGACTTGAGCACTTCTTGCAATGTGGAATCATGTTCATGCTCTCATTTTCAATATTTTAAAAACATGGAAGCACCTAGACAGCTTTTCAACATTTATTGCAACCATTCTGGAAGCACATGGAACATAATGATGGGTCTGGAACCAATCATTATCATCTCATTTTATTTCTCCATAATATACCAATACATTGGGGTACTTTGTAGGATTTTGGTTTATTTATCCTTGGATTTTCTTCCAGAAATTCAAAATCTGTATACCTCACCTCAACCTTGGCAACTTTAAGATGCCTGAATTTCAACTCCAAGAATGCTCCAGTCCTACAAAAATTTTTTTTAATTTGAGATAATTGCAGAACTTTTAATCCACAGGAAATGGGATTAATTTTTGGATACAAGTTTAATTGGGATGTATTTAAATTTATGCCTTTGAGTCAGTGTTGACTCCTGGCAACTGCCTAGACAAGTCCCTGAATTTTTCTTGGCAAGGTTTTTAAAAAGTGGTTTGCCTTTGCCTGCTTTCTAGGGCTAAGAGAAAGTGACTGGCCCAATGTCACCCAACTGGCTTTGTGTTTAAGGCAGGACGAGAACTCAGAGTCTCCCAGTTTCTAGCCTAACTACTACACCAACTTGGCTCTCATATCATATTTATAGCTCTATTTACAAATAAAGATAATAATGTATTTAAACAAATGTTTTTGAACTGCCACTGACAATACGCAATTACCGTACAGTATGTCAAAATACATATTTTTCCAGAAATTCAGGAATGCTTAGGCTGTGAACTAATCCTCAATTATTTAGGAGTAAATGCCACTGAATTGAAAGTCATGCATTTCTAACTAGCTTAGTTTAGATTACAGTATAAAAAGACTAAGGCAGGATAAAGCACTCCCAAACAAACATGCAGCATAGGGTTATGCTATGCAGCATAAAACAAATGCAAAAGTATTCCAATTCAGTACGGTGTATACTGAGCAAGAGATGAGCAGTGCCACCTACAGGCAATAATTAGACTATATTTATTTGTTTGTTTGTTTAATCTCACCTTTATTATTTTTATAAATAACTCAAGATAGCGAACATACCTAGTAATATTCCTTCGTCCTCCTATTTTGGCTTACATCTTTGTTTTGTGAAATTCTTCATAAGAGGTCATACTGATGAACATAATTAATAGTAGTGCCATATCTTTATTAGGCCAACCAAGATGTCATAAAATAGTGGTCAAATGTTTTGAGTTCTCATTTTCATTAGGCAAAATGCTTGTCTTTTTTCATCAGGCAAGATGTTCGCAAAACAGAGAAGCAGGGAAAGAAAACCAAGCAGATTGTAGAATTAGGGAACTTAATTTAGGGATAATCATAGCTTTTGCCTTCGTTGTTGAATTTTTCTTCTGAATCAACAGACACAGCTCCCCAAGAAAAGAATCCAATTTGAAGAAAGATTTTATACCATTTAAAGAAGGGGTTCTAGAATATTTCTTCATCTTGTTGCAAAAGATTGCTCGATTTGGCTTCTATTGGCTAAAATAAAATTATAGCATATTCCCTAAAACAAATCTAAGACAATTTAGTTAAAAAGTTCTAAATAATGGATGAATATTATATTTTCAAAATGAAAAAAGGACCCAGTACGTGTTTGTTTATGTCAAAAGCATCTCTGGGTGATGGTACATCCTACAAAATGGGCCTGCTTTGATTTGGTTCCATTAGGAGCATTGAGAGTTATGCAAATGAGATTCACTTACTGTTGCTTCACCTCTTCCAGCTTTGTTTGCAAGTACTAGAAGAGTTTGCAGAAGATTCCTTAGAGCTTTGAAAAGTGAAGTTGTGCAGCAACTTTGGTGCAATTTAAAAAAAAGAAGAAGCTGGGTTGTTTTGCCAAGCAGCTTTGAAAGATAATATTGCTTCAGTCTTTATTGAAGCAAAGTGCCCAGCACAACCTTATCATCCCATTTCTCATTTTTCCAGTTGAAGATCTGTTCTGGCATCTACAAATCTGCCCCCAAAATGAATTTGCATTAATGCTCATTTTTGTAAGTTACTTCATTTGCATCCACCTGCATCCTTTGAATAAGAACATCATCATGCATGATAAAATCACATCGTTTGTGTAATGCTGTAATTATGCAAATGGTATAAATCACCTCAAAAAGTTGATTCATTTCAAGTCCATTGCAACAAGATCTGTTAAATTTAGGGTCCATTGTATGTTCTATGCTGTGTATGCATAATTTGCAAACAATTTGTCTCTAACATAACACAGTAGTATACTCATTTTTAAACTGCGGACTACATTGCAAGATTTCTGAAAACTTGTATGTCAACATACAATTCCATTATGATTTATGCATACATTCAGAAAGTTGAATTGGATAAATGTATGTAAATATTCACGTTAAAGAAAATTCAATCTATTTTAGCCCCACCACTTCAGTCATCACATTCTTGCAGAATGAAATCAAAGAAAATACGGTATCTTCTTACAGTATTGTCTAATCTAGCAACCATTAATCGTTCTAATTTAACTGAGGACTCTATCGGCCGGAGCACTGGCAGGAAAAGGAAACCATGTGTTGCTATATACGTAATTCCACACAGACCAGTCATCAGAAATATCTCCCGTTTACTTTTCTGATCTTTTCAAAACTCTCCTGAATGTATGACCAACTGAAATCCTTAACAATAACTAACCAAATGCAGCAGGAATATACAATCTCCAACTTTTTTTTTAATCCTATTTCCTGTTACATTGACATTTTTCAAACATAGCCATTTTCAGATTAGAAATAACCAGATGTTGTAACACTTGAACCTAGAGAGATACTTTCTTGTTTATTTCCAGAGAAGGCCTATGGGGTATCAGCTGTTTTTTCTCCACATAACATTTCCTCATGTAGAGATGATGGGGTTAGGGAAGCAACCAGGGGCGGGTTCTACTTACCTTTACTACCGGTTTGCAACAGGAACGTGTGTGCGCGCTCGCTTTGCTTGCGGGAGCATGTGTGCTTCTGCGCATGCGCAGAAGCTTCTACACATGCTCAGATCATCAATTATGACATCTGGGTGGGTGAGCAGAGCCTCCCACTGCTTTTACTACCGGTTCTAAAAAACCAGACAGAACCAGGAGCAACCCACCACTGGAAGCAACCCATATTTGTTACCATCCTGAATTAGTTTGAAACACAAATTATGGCGTTTAGGCAGTGGTGGGATTTAGCTGGTTCTTTCTGGATCACGCAAACCAGTAGCGGCGACTGCAGGAGGCTCCGCCCACCCTCCTGAACATAATGCACGACTACTTTGCATGCGCATAAGGCCATATGCATGTACAGAGGTGGCACGTGTGCTCACATTTCTGAACCGGTAGGGAAGGTAAGTGAATCCCACCTCTGTCTTTGGGTACCAGAATTGGAAGGCTCGGTGATATTTTGAAACTTGTTTAGTTTTCAAGTCGAACAGTAGATACCTGTGAAATCTGGAAATACTAATTCAGTATTAGTAATTACTAATCTTAGTACATAGATTAAACACTTCTTACATCCTTAATATTTACATGGCATGTAAAAATTACCATAACTAAACTGTCAGAACGCTAATTGCTTTAGAAGGTTGTGGGTGATCTAGAAAATTCTGAGTACATCCAGAGGGCTTTTCTTAATTTGTACAGACTTCCTCATATTATCCTGGAATCTGCCTCAATGGGGATTTCAACATGTATTTATAATTTTGCTTTCTTTTATGATATGGAATAAAACATGGAGTTTGACCTTTCAATTTCAGCACAAACTCAATGCTTCTTTGTTATTTCAGTTGTGCCAGTTATTGTGCTCAACCCATTCAGAATATGTTCTTATTTACTGTACTGGAACAAGCCTAGTATGTTGCTAAATACTTCCCCATATTTCTGCAAACAATAAGAGGTTTCATGGACATAAAGTTTACCTGTTTACTGTATCTGCATCTACTGTATATCAGTCAGTGTTCAACTCTTAAACCTCTTTCTCCTGTCTGTGTGGCTTCTTCTCTCCTTTCTCCTTCCCTAAGTGGGGAAGAAGGAACAGCTGACACCTGTGGTTTGTTACCCAGACAAATTGTGTTAGATTGGCGCAGGGAAAAGAAGACGCAACTCAGCAGAGATCCATTCAGCACTTTATTCAGCTCATATGGAACTGCCGGCTGTGCTGCCGAGCCATCCTTATATACAGCTCTGGCAAGCTAGTCGGCCAATGACATTCATTTAAACTTCCTGCCGGTGGATTAACCAACCACCGGAGGAAGCCCATATAAGGACACAACACCCCTCCCCTCCTAGTTCTCAGTCTGTCAATCCGTGGCCGAAGTAGGTCAAATAGTCACACAGGTAGGCGAGTCTACTAACCCTACTTGACTTGCGCGGTTCAGTCCTTGCTTCGTTGTTGATCCGGACAGGTCGGGCTCCCGCCCTCTCCAGTTCCCGACGTGGAATTGTCTGGAACTCGGCCGTCGAGTGTGGGTCCGGCCTAGCGCCTCCGGCTGGGTTTGTTGGATTGTCCTGCGGGTGGTGGAGTCCCTCTCCCTGGCTGGGATGACAGAGACTCGGCCACTGAAGTTTGCCTTGGACCCGGGCTGGGCAGCTGAACCGCGGTAGGTCCTTGGGTTCTTTCCTCTCTTCTTTGGCTTGCGCTCTGGGCCCCTGGCGGGCTGTCGTGGTGGAGCGTCCCTGCAGCTGTGGTTGCAGCTGATGCGGGTCAACTCAGTCGGGGTGGTGTAGGCCTACCTCTCTGGGGTGGCACAGGCTTACCTCGGCTGGGTGGTATAGGCCTACCTTGTCGGGGTGGCGGCAGTCTACCTCACCAGGGCAGTGCAGGCCTACCTTGTTGGGGTGGTGTAGGCCTACCTCATCGGGGTGGTGGAAGTCTACCTCGCCGGGGTGGCACAGGCCTACCTTGTCTGGCTGGTCTTCCCCAACTCCCCTCCACCTTTTTCGGACCTGGTCGATGTGATGCTTTCAGATTCGTCCGTCTTTCAGCTCCACTTCGTATGACACTCTCCCGATCAGTCCTTTCAGCCACTTCGGAGGGCCCTGGAAACTTAGCACAAAGACCGGATCTCCGATTCTGAAAGTCCGTGGTGGCTGGGCATTGTTTCGTTGGCACTGCGGATTGTACTGGGGGTGTAGCCAATCCAACAGTGATCGTAGTCTTCTCCCCATCAGGAGCTCTGCCGGGGTCTTCTTTGTGGTGGTGTGCGGAGTGATGTGCTGGGCGAACAGGAACTTATTAATTTTCTCCTGCCAGTCTCCTGCGCCCATTTTGGCAACTGTGTCTTTGGTGAGTCTCACCATTTTCTCCACTTGCCCGTTTCCTGCTGGCGTGTAAGGGGCGATGAGGGCGTGCCTGATGCCCAGCTCTGCTAAGAAGTCTTCCATGGTCTTGGAAGTGAGCTGGGGGCTGTTGTCCAAGACCAGGACGTCTGGAAGGCCGTGTGTGGTGAACAGCCGGCGGAGTGCCCTGATGGTGGCCTCCGTCATGATGGTGGGCATCGCGATTACTTCCAGCCATTTTGAGAACGCGTCCACCACAATGAGGAGAGACTTGCCATCTATTGGTCCTGCAAAATCGATGTGTATTCTCGACCAGGGGCTGCTAGGCGTCTCCCACTCGTTGGCTGAGCTTGCGGTGGCGCCGGTCTCACCTCCTGGCACGGGTCACATCTGGCGATCCATTTTTCAATGTCCTTATCCAGCGTTGGCCACCAGACATAGCTCCGTGCCAGGGCCTTCATCCTGACGATGCCAGGATGCCCGCTGTGCAGTGTCTCCAAGGTCTTCTTCTGTAGGGTGTGTGGAATCACCACCCTGTCGCCCCAGAGGAGGCATCCTTGCATTGTGGAGAGTTCTTGTTGTTTCCGCACGAATGGACTGAACTCTTCGCCCAATCTCCCTATTGGTCAGCCCCTCAAGATCTAGGACATGACTTGCCTGAGGGTTTTTTCTCTTTGGGTGTGCTTCACCATGGTGGTGGATGATATTGGGCACAACTGGTCATCATCGATATGGAACAGTCCGAGAGTGGGTGCCGGGTCTTTCACTGGCTCTTGGATGGGGCATCTGCTGAGGGCATCGGCATTGCAGATGGTCTTGCCGGGTCTGTGTAGCAGCTTATACGAGTAGCCGGCGAGAAAGATGGCCCAGCGTGTCATCCTGGGCGACATGTAGGTGGGCGTTTGCTTGTCTCCTGTGAGAAGTCCCAGCAGCGGCTTGTGGTCCATCACAATGGTGAACACTCTTCCATATAGGTATTCATGGAAGCGCTTGATGCAGCTACAATGGCCAAGGCTTCCTTGTCCAGCTGGCTGTAGTTGCGCTCAGTCGTGGACATTGTTTTCGAAAAGAACGCAATGCGAGCTTCTGATCCGTTGGGAAGTTGGTGGCTGAGGACAGCCCCTACTCCATATGGCGAGGCATCACAGGTCAGAAGTAGGGGGAGTGTCTCATGGTATTGCATGAGGACGCTGTCTGAAGAGAGTAGTCTTTTGATGTTCCGGAAAGCTGCCTCTTCTTCTTCTCCCCATTTCCAAGGGATCGCCTTCCCTAAGAGTCAATGGAGCAGCTCAGCAACTGTGGCTTTCTGTTTTAAAAAGACACTGTAAAAATTCAGTAGTCCCAAGAAAGCCTGAAGCTCTGCTTTGTTTTGGGGGGCTGGAGCTTCATGAATTGCTTTTACTTTACTTTTGGTGGGGTGGATGCCTTTGCTATCAATTAGGTAGCCCAGGAACTCGACCACCTGGACCCCGATGATGTACTTGTCTCTCCTGACTCTTAGACCCTTCACCTGAAACCGCTGCAGGGCAAGCCTGAGCCGTTCCAGTAGTTGGGCTTCCGAGTGGCCGGAGACCAAGACATCATCGAAGTATGGCACCACCCCTGGAATGCCTTGCAGAAGGCGTTCCATCATCAATTGGAAAATGCCTGGGGCAACGCTGATTCCAAATTGGAGGCAGTTCCATTTGAATGCTATGTAGGAGTAGGAGTGAAGGGGGAAAAGAAGAGAGAAGTGGGGGAAAGGAAAAGGAAGTAGGATGAGGTAGGAGAGGAGGAAGGAGAAAGTAGGAGAGAAGAGGAGGGAGGGAAGGGAAAGAAAGGAGGTGGAGAAGAAGGTTTGTTGTGGAATGAGGGAAGAAAGAGAAGAAGAGCAACTCCGAATGCAATTAAAATGTCCTACTTTAATGCTTTCTTTAAGGGAAACATGCATTTATTATGTATAAGAAAATGTACACTTTCTATTATGTGGGGAGGGGGAAAGGGTGGGGGGGAGAAAATTGTTTGTATTTCTTATAAAACTTTTCAATAAAAAAAAATAAAAAAAATGTGTCTAGAGTGATTCTAGCCATCAATTATTGTCTCCAGAGGATGGGATGTGCATATACTTGTGTATATGTGTGAAACAGAGCGAGACAGAGATACAGTGGTCTGCTTTTGGACAAATAAATTCAATTTGTTCACTCTAAGATTTAATTTATTTATAACATTTCTGCCTATCCTTTCACTAAAATTCTTCCAGTAACAAAATACAATAAGATTTGACTGAAGCTTGCAATTTTAAAAAAAGCAACATACAAAGAAAAAGGATGGAACAGAAGGAGGAAGAAAGCAAGTTTGTACAATCTTTCTCACAAGGTAAGGGATCAAAACAGTTGAAACAGCATGAAGTTACAGCTGCCGGTGAGGTAATAATTGAGGAGAGTCCAAATATGCTATATCATAGATGTATGTTACATCTATTTAATATACACTATAAACTTGCTTAGTATTTATGCTGCTACTAAATACTTCTACAAGCAACTCCCTTAGGAGAGCCATAATAGTCTCATAAAAGCAAAAACTATTGTTATTGTTGTTCAGCACAAAATCAGCCAGATGTTTAGACTGTGAGGCATTTTTATCCACCTCTCAAGTCCTTCCCAAGGACCTGGGGATATAGGCAGATGTTGTATGGTGGTGTTAAGAGAGTCAGTTTGGTGTAGTGGTTAGGGCACCAGGCTAGAAAGTGGGAGACTTTTAATTAGAAAAAGTTCTAATTTTGCCTTAGGAATGAAAGCTTCTGTCCAACCAACCTCACAGGGTTGTTGTGGAGAAAACACGAGGAGGAGGAAGTATTAGATATGTTCATTGCCTTGAATTGTTTATAAAAATAAAGTTGAGACATAAAGTAAGTAATAATATATAGTTGCAGGACATAAGTTGTTCCATGTAAAGCTGCCTTTTGCAATTGACCAATCATAATGTTGTCAATGCTGATGTTGTTCAAATGGTGCTCCAGATGTTTTGGGATTGTATCCAAGGCATCTATTATTATTACTACGATCTTTGCTTTCTTTTGCTACAGTTATTTCAGATATTTTGGATTTGTTGGACTTGATTTGTAATAAGAGATTATTATTTCTTAGTTTACAAACTTTTTATATTTGTGACCAGTAAACAACTTTTCTTCCAGTAGTCCTGCAGCTGCTGGCTCTGATTGCTCAGCCAACAGTCCTGAGCCCTGCAGTCCATTTATCACCAGATGTTCAAGAATTCCAACATTTAGCACAGTCCTTGTTGATTCAATATGGGCTTCTGTAAATTATGTTTCACCATATGGTTTATGGGAGAGACACTATATCTGGTTCCTCTGATGAGACCTGTCCAGGATGGTTGAACCTCTGGCATAGGTTTCATCTTCCCCAGAGCATGCAAGCCCCACAATCATATCAAGGTAGTGCCTTATTATATTATTATTATTTTATTTGTTTGTTTCAGTGGTGGGTTGCCCCTAAAACTGGAGGGAGGCTCCGCCCACTGACCTGGATGTCGTCATAGGTGATCTGCAAATGCCGGTGCGATGCAAACTGGTAGTAAAGGTAAGTAGAACCCATCCCTGGTTTGTTTGTTTTACATGACACCCAACTCATAGCATTTATAAAGACATCCTGACACTTTAAACATAAATCTTTGAAGGTTTTTCTTTCTCTTCAGCAACATGTGTAAGTTGTAACAAAAGACAAAGGATTATCTGAAGCTCTCTCCAACAGTTTCCTCTCTCTCTCTCTCTCTCTCTCTTTTTTTTTTTGTCAACTCTGTCTAAGATAAGGTAATAAATTCATTGTAGAGCAAATCCTATCAGATTCCCAACTGCATGAGGAACGTAAATCACTTGATATGCAAAGGTGGAGAAATTGAAGAAATAATGAGCAAAGGACCACTGCCTTAACAGCACAGCCGTTCTTGCCATAGAGCAGGAAGCAAAGGAACCTACAAATTTTCTAACATTTCCGGAACAAAATTAACTCTGCCTTTCCTGAACCAATTTGCACAGCCGGAGGACTCAGAGAGTCACCTCTCACTCTAAATAAGCCGGGACTGAGGAATTGCTTGTTCTTTCTGGCCATTCTATGAATTATTTATTTATTTATTATTTATTTATTTAATCATATTTATATGCCGCCCTTCTCCTGAAGGACTCGGGGCGGCTCACAAAGATAAAAACCACAGAACAATAAGTTAATAAAATAATTCAAGTTAATTAAAATAATCCAAATAAAACCCTTAGAGAACTAAAAACTCCCAGCAGATCAGACAATTTGTTGGAAGAGCCATGTCTTCAGGTCCCTGTGGAAGGAGCGGAGGTCAGGGGCCGTCCGGAGCCCAGTGGGTAACCCATTCCAGAAGGTCGGTGCGCCCACAGAGAACGCCCTCATCCTGGGCGCCATCAGCAGACATTGCCTGGCCAATGGCACGCGGAGGAGGGCAGCCCTATGCGAGCGCACTGGACAGTGGGAGGCTGGCAGAAGGTGCTTCTGCAAGTTGCTTTTATTGGATTGTTTTTTTAATTATACTACTACAGTTTAGGCTGGATAGCTGAATTACTTGCACTTCTGGATTTTATCACACTTTGCTTTTTTATTTTTCTTCATTATCATATTAGTTGTGTGTATTTATCTTTTTTATTGTTGTATACACTGTAAAATACAACAGGTGTATTATAGTCATCCATTGCTGATGAAAGCTAAACTGGAACTTAGCTCTTTTTTTTCCTGTCTCAATGGATTATGGGAGTATGTTGCTCCACGTTGCAAATCAAGTTCTCTTATTTTAATCATATATTATGATGCAATCAAGATCAATTCTGGTCTAAATTCTCCTCGGCAAATCTTCTTTTTCAGAGCCTCTGTTTAGCATAACTATTCCCAAACATGCATTAATGTTACCTTTCTCATTACGTAGCCTAATGTCTGATGGGGAAGGGCCTTTTGCTCTTAATAATGTTACACACACACATATTACCTCCCTGAATTGTAAAATGAAAGCACTCTTCAAGTTCCATCCAGTCTCCAGTTAAATATTTTGCATTCCCATTGTGTAGTACTTGTAAATCCTGGTATTATGTGGAAATGATTGCTTTCATTCAATTCATTCTTCAAAGAGTCTATGGAGATGTCTACAATATCAGAATGTTATTTCTGAACTTTAATTATAATTTTAATCAACTCCAATTTTCCATTTGTTTGTCCTGTAATGCTAATTATTTTTGGCTGTCATGAAGCACTGGGAATAATGCTTAATATTAGTAACATTTGTTGTTAAGCAACTTTGCACGTTGCTGCCCCTGTTTAAATGGCAGAAGTAAAAACAACAACATTTATTTCTGGTTTTTGAAAAGCCCCTGTGGAAAAGTAAACTATTGTTTAAAGCTTTTTCCCAGAATCTCTCAACACATATTTATTTTTGTCTTGATTATTTATTCAGTTTTGCTCCTGTGATTTTACAAGTTTTAGGGAATTGGGCCTAAGAAATTACCAGATTAGAAGTTACCTTGAAACTGTATAGAAAGGTAGCTCATCCATGAGATGACTGAATTGCCACACAGAATGAATGAGCAAAGTAAAAAGTAGTCAGAGGAGAGAAATTTATATTTTACTGTAACTACCAGACCTAATTCCATACATCATAGCAAATGCAAGCCTACAATGCATAGCTGATATTCCACCTTCTTTCTTGGGGTGAATTTCTTGTGAATGATGAAGGTCACAGAGGCCACGTACAGAGAAAATAGAATAGAATAGAATAGAATAGAATAGAATAGAATAGAATAGAATAGAATAGAATAGAGAGTTGGAAGGGACCTTGGAGGTCTTCTAGTCCAACCCCTGCTTAGGCAGGAAACCCTACACGATTTCAGACAAATGGTTATCCAATATCTTCTTAAAAACTTCCAGTGTTGGAGCATTTACAGATAAAAGTCACTCTGGAGGAGACCTCTGCTGGTACCAGAAGACTGGACTTAATTCAACATCAGTAGAACGGAGAGCTATAATACACATAGAAAAAAAGGGGGAGATTTAATTTTTATTTGAATTTATAAGCCACCAGTTCCAATAGACTGTGGGCAGTGCACAAAACGAGGAAAACCCTCCCTATAAAACACATAAACATTAAATGGCCAGACCAAACTGAAATAATCTTTACAGACAAGAACAATAAAAGACAAGGGCACAGTGATTCATCAGCCTCAGGCCTGGAACCAAAGCCAGGATTTCAGAGTTTTCTGGAATCCAAAGAAAGGGGGCACAGTCCTTATCTCTAGAGGGATGCTGTAAAAGATGGAAGCCATAACAGAAAAGGCACATTTCCTCTGTCCCACAAGATTGCATTGTTTACTAGAGGGGACCTAGAGTGCACCTATTCTGCTGGAACAAATGCATGGGCAGAAGTTATTGGAGACAAGCTGTTGCTCATATATAGGTAACACAGTCATAACTTTGAATGGTCACTAAATGAGGCAGTTGATAAACGTGGAATATCTGTATCCAGGCTTTATGCCATACAGGCCTTTATAAATAATAACCAGCACGTGGAATTGCATTTGGAAGCCAATTGGCAGCTAACGTGACTTACAAAGCAATGGGAGACATGGCCATATTGAAGTTACCTGATCCTGCTTACACCACTGTATTTTGAACCAGATATAGCTTCTGGGTAGTTTTCAAGGGCAGTCCCATGTAGAGCACATAGCAATAATCCAACTGTGAAGTGAACAGGGCCTGAGGAACAATTTGAAAGGCATCCTAATAAAAGAAAGAGCACAATTGGTACACAAGGTAAACCTATGCAAAACTCCTGGCCACAGCTGCCATCTGCTCTTTAAGGGGTAGCTACAAGTCCAAAAGGACCCCACATTGCTCATCAATTTTGAATGGGAAAATGCAGCCCCATCCAAGACCAAACAGGGTAACATCTCTAACCATGGGTGTCCAAACAGCCACAGAAGACTTGTTACGACTAAGCAGTGGTGAAATTCAATTTTTTTTACTACCGGTTCTGTGGGCATGGCTTGGTGGGTGTGGTGTGACTTGGTGGGTGTGGCATGGTGGGTGTGGCAGGGGAAGGATACTGCAAAATCTCCATTCCCACCCCACTCCAGGGGAAGGATATTGCAAAATCTCCATTCCCACCCCACTCTGGGGCCAGCCAGAGGTGGTATTTGCTGGTTCTCCAAACTACTCAAAATTTCCACTACTGGTTCTCCAGAACCTGTCAGAACCTGCTGAATTTCACCCCTGCGACTAAGCAAAAGTCTCTAATGCCTCATCCAGACATGAAGAGCCTCCAAGCAGTGGGTCAAAACACCATTAGATTCATTGTGCAGCTCAGGATTGAGATATAGAACTGGGTATCATCAAAATACAATACATCTATCACCATTGCTATCCTCTGGTCCTTGTCTACTACCCTGATGTCTGGTTGATCGGCCAGTACCTACCTGTCTGTCTGGATCTGGAAGTTCCACAGGATCTTAACCCTGTTATTCTCCATGACCTTCTGAAGAATCTCTGGACTTGGGAGGATCTAATCCAAGTCCAAACACTGTACAATGTTCCTATACATAATAGCAATAGCACTTAGATTTATATAGCACTTTACAGTGCTTTACAGCCCTCTCTAAGTGGTTTACAGAGTCAGCATATTGCCCCCAACACTCTGGGCTCTCAGTTTACCAACCTCAGAAGGATGGAAGGATTGAGTCAACCTTGAGCCTGTTCAAACAGCCAAACTACTGGCAGCCGGCAGTCAGCAGAAATAGTCTGCAGTAGTGCATTCTAACCACTGCAGCACCACAGCTCTTAATCCAGCTACTTGGTCGTATCTTTTAGTGTATGATGCTGTTTCTGTTTGCATCTTATACCCTGCGACTATATGTGTCTCTGAGGCCTCTCTGCAGTCTGCGTCTTGGATCCTATCTAGTGTAGTAGACCCCTGCTTCTATAGAATTAGTGCCAAGTGCCTATTCTTGTATTGCTATGATCAATGCACTGGTGCTGCATTTTAGTTCAGCCCTTTCCAGTGACTAGTAGGATTTCCCACTATCTCCCACCTCAACAGTCTGTCAATGGCACATCCCATGCCATGCAGGGTTTTGTCTTCCTCTATTTGATCTTCTTCCCATGTCTGCTTCTGCCTCAGGTATTACCTCAGCAACTCAGCTTTGGGTGGCATCTTACTGATGTATGCCTGTACGGTCTGGGTTTCATCCAGTATAGTTACTCTGGCACTTACTAGATTCCACCCATCCTATTTCTGGTGTACAATCTTTGAATGTTGGACTTGGGTTAGGAACCCTCTATACATAGTGAAGAGCTTCCAGGTCTTCCCATCAGCAGCTGTTTGAGTTGAGTTCCAGTATTACCTTCCACTGTTCCATTGAGTTCTTGAGCAAGGTCTTTCATGATCAGCAGTGCCCTTGGTTCATCTGCAAAGAATTGATGATTTATGAATTGGAAGATTAAGAAATGTACAGATTAATTGAAGAGGTGAAGGGATTTGTAAAATATTTAAGAGGGAGGCAGGACAATAAGTTTGTAATTATCTGTTGAAAAGAAAGTTGGAAGACTTTGATATATTTCTTTAGTTTTTCTTTTCTTGGTTTTTTCTCTTTTTTCATCTTTTATTATATAAAAATTCTTAATAAATATAAATAAAAAAACAAAAGGAAATGTGGATTTCATTAGGAGAAAGAAGATCTTAACAGCCTTTTCTATCTTTTCTACTATCTAGTTTCAGTGGAACAAAAATGGCACTTTTGTCTTTTTTAATAGATGAGAGAATATATGGATATATCCTCCTTTCCCTAACCATCAACCATCTGTGAAACATCTCAAAGAGTGCTTTGAGAATATTATTTGTCACAAGAACCATCCAATAATAGCTGGCTGGGTTGAAGATACTTCATCTGTTTTTTAACTTTGCAATTTTCTTTTTAACTCTGCTTTATTTTTGTTTTTTAACTTTGTTTTAAATTATGGCTTTTATATAATTATCATTTTATTTGTAAACTACCAAGAACCGTGATGGCAAACCTATGGCATGTGTGCCAGAGATGGCACTCAGCACCCTCTCTGTGGGCATGCGAGCTGTTGCCACAGCTCAGTTCTGCTGCACATGCGCGCGTGCGTCCTGCTGGCCAGCTGGTCTTCAGGTCTCTGCCATGCATGCACGGGGCATGGGGCGCATGAAGGGGGTGCATGCATGCAAGCGCTGAGGGTGTGTGCATGTGTGGGGGTGGGGTGCATGCGTGGGGATGGGGTGCATGCATGGGGGCAGTGCATGCATTGCATTTTGGGGGTTCAGGCGGGCTTTGGGCACTCAGTCTGGAAAAGGTTAGCCATCACTGACCTAGAATCAAGCAAGTGTGATGGGCAGTATAGAAATGGATAGATAGATAGATAGATAGATAGATAGATAGATAGATAGATAGATGTATCAATTGCAATATGTCAGCCAGGTTTCTGAAGGTTTACTTATATTTTTTCTTCAAATTAATTAAAACTCTGCTAAAACTGAAGCATTTAGTGATGGGCAATGAAAGTTCTGCAAACCGTTTCCAGGTTTCTGAAAATTAATTGGTTCAAGAAATATCCTGTCCTCTTCAGGCAGTGGATTCCAAAGCAATAGAGATCTTTTAAAGACTTGGATTAAGAGTGGGGAAAATGTTTTAGTGGATGTTAATAGGACCATTGCAGCATGAATACAAGAATGTAGTCTTGTTTCTTGTTTCCACTTTGGCTTTAGAACTACTTTTGAGCAGATTTGAACTTTAATTAGGGTGCTCGACAGAATTGCATGGATCTCTGTTTATGCTGCCCCAGTCTTAAGTGGCTGTCTCTTGATACATACATTTTATGAAGGGAGCATTAGGGAGCAGAGTAACAATATATACACAAATTGGAAAATATTTTTCTGCAGTTGATGGAAGGTGACAGACATTGCTGTTGGCATGCCTTAATAGTACTGTATAAATAAGAAAAACACCTTGCTTATCGTACTTATAAGCCAGCCAATTTAATGAATGTCTACACGTTCCTACTCATGAAGAGAATGACATCCAGCATGGTGCTAGATTAGGGATGTTTGTCCTGTCAACTCGGTTATTTTAACATTAGCAGTTTATAGCATTTATTGTTGTCTGTTTCAGATATTTCATGTTTTTTCTGCATTGCAAATTGCCTTATCAGAAGGTTATGTACAGCCTTAGTAAATAGCCTTGTTGTACAGCTGCAAAAGTTCTCTAGCTACTTCCTTATTTTTAAACTATTTCTATTCTCTAGTACTTCATGCTAATCCCCTAAACCTTCCCTTTTCCAAATAACATAACTTTTTACCTATGCTTATTTCTTTTTTCCCTCTTAATTTTTTATTGAGATGGGGAGGAAGTCACAATTAGCATCACCCTGAGGAAAAAAGTGTTGAATTATTTTCCCCACATGCATTGGGGGAAAAAATCTGTCTCCTAGAATTTAAGCTGTGGGAAAAGAGAGAATCCCAAAGGTGTTTTGGGTTGTAGAAATCTGAAAGCAGAGTTCCTACTTCATCTGCCCCTTGGAACAAAACTGTGGCTATGTGGTAGTTCACAGAATTGTCAAGTTTACATTCAAAAATCGAAAGAAAAACTCGGTTCTGAGGAAACCACAAAGATTCCTCCCCAGTGCTATTAATTTTCAGTGGTTATTTCAAAGAATTCAGCAGGAACTGGCTCGCCTTTTTTTTTTTTTTTTTTTTTTTTGAGGTTTGCTGAAGATGAAGACCCTACTTGCAAAAGCTTGAATTTCAAATTTCCAAGAAATTCAGAGTTTTCGCAAACATTCTTCCTATGTTGGCTGGCTGGCCTTCACAGAAGCTGTTACCTGGAGAGTGCATATTAGCAAAGACAAACAATTTGGTTTCCTTTCGATGAAAGATACTGCATAATACTGCATCCAGTTTTGGTCGCCGCAATGTAAAAAAGAAAAGTTAGACTCTAGAAAGAGTGCAGAGAAGAGCATCAAAAATGATTAGGGGACTGGTGGCTAAAACATATGAAGAACAGTTGCAGGAACTGGGTATGTCTAGTTTAATGAACTAGGGGTGACATGATAGCAGTGTTCCGATATCTCAGGGGTTGTCATAGAGAAGAGGGAGTCAGGCTATTCTCCAAAGCACCTGCGGGCAGGACAAGAAGCAATGGGTGAAAACTAATCAAGGAGAGAAGCAACTTAGAACTAAAAAGAAATTTCCTGACAGTTAGAACAATTAATCAGTGGAACAACTTGCCTCCAGAAGTTGTGAATGCTCCAACATTGGAAGTTTTTAAGAAGAGATTGGACAACCATTTGTCTGAAATTATATAGGGATTCCTGCCTGAGCAGGGGGTTGGACTAGAAGACCTCCAATGTCCTTTCCAACTCTGTTATTTTGTTCTGTTAGATTTGGCACCAAACATTTGATTATCTTTGTAATTCATTTTCTTTGCAAATAAGCCTGTATATACAAAAGGTATAGGCAAAGCGAATAGACTGCTATAACAGATAGGCAAGCAGTATAATCCTGAAGCAATTTCCCATACAATTAACTTCAATCTTGAAGGCTATATTCAGATTTTAACTGATTTCATCTAAAACCTCGCCCTCTCTTTTCTTCATTTCCTCCATTGCCTTCAGAGATTACTTTCAACTGCACAACAAAAACTCAGCATGGAAGGCTTCCACAATTAGCAAGAAGTGTCCGTCTCCTGAAGCTCTTGTGCAATCAAACCAAACTAATATAAGCCTTCCCTCTATTTATCATAACTTGAATCCATTTTCCCCATCTTTTCCCCCTAAAAACCAGTTCAGTCCAACTACCTTCTTGCACTTCTCAATGCAAGTTGTAACATCTTTCCAAAATTTTGTCTGGGAAAAGATTCATTAAAATAGCATCCAAAAATAATTTGTAGGCACAGCTTAGAAGAAATGTGAAAGCAGGTTAATTATTCACACATATCCTGTGGTTGCTCAGACTCAAATGGCTATTAAATCTGTGGAAACATGCACATGCTGTTTCAAAGAGATTGGGTATATTCCTCTCTCACAGCAAATACCTTGGGATAATTAAAAATTGCCAGCATCTTTGAAATACCATTCTTTAGCTAAAAACGATTTTTAAAAACATTTAAACGTCTATTCCTCTGCCTCTGCTTAAAGTCATATTCTTAAATGCTTTAAATCCAATTTTGCAGCTATTTGACTTTTTGGAGAACCGTAAAGAAATCTAATTTTTGATCTGTCTTTGTGCTGCTTTTAAGGAAAAATGTCAGTCATCACTGAGTTATCTTAAAGAAATAAAAGCAAAGCTCATCCTATCTGTTATGTTTTAACTGTCAATAAATACACTAAAATATTTGTTTGCCTTTTTTTAATCTGTTGTGACTGACACACATTTTTTCCTATAGAGAGGGCTGTAAGCACTGTGAAGTGATATATATAAGTCTACGTGCTATTGCTATTAAGAGGAAACGATAGACCGGAGATGGCGAACCTATGGCACCCAGCTGGTGTTTGGGCCTCTGATGCACCTACGCACAATTCAAGGGACCCAGCTGGTCTTTGGAGCTCTCCTGTGCATGTGTGTGCATTTGTGCATGTGCAAGAGTACTTGCGTGCAGCAGCCACATGCACAGTTGGCATTCGCATGTGTGCATTGCACGTGCAAAACTGCACACATGTTCAGTTGGTGCAATTGTGCATGCAGCACACAGGGGAGCCACGCATGGGGAGCCAAACCTGGGTGCATGTGCAGATGGTGTGATTGCACACACTGCATGGGGGTGCACGTGAAAGCCGTATGCATGCAGATGGTGCGGTTGCATGCAAGCACATGCAGAAGGAGCCGTGCATTAGCACAGACAGCACACATGTGCACAAAGTGCACGACACGCACGAAGAGCACTCGGTGTTCAGCACTCGGTGAATAAAAGGTTTGCCACCACTGCAATAGACTGTAAGAAGCTCCCAATTCAATGGTGGGTTGCTACCAGTTCACCCTGGATCGGGCGAACCAGTAGAGGTGGCTGTGGGAGCTTCCGCCCACCTACCCGGATGCTTCTGCGCATGCGCAGAAGCAGCACGCATGCATGCACATGCACAGGCGAATGGGTAGCAAACTAAATTGAAACCCACTACTGCCCCAATTTGATCTTTTTTTAAAAAAAAAAACTGAGTTGTAAAGGTAAAAATAAATCTACTGGTGACATCCCTGTAGTATCCTGAATTTGTCGGGGCCAAAATTATTTAATTTGATTTTATTCTATTTTTAAATTTTGTATTGTATGTGTTTTTATTGTTTGGCTGTGCACCGCCCTGAGTCCTTCGGGAGTAGGGCGGTATAGAAATCTAATAAAATGAAAATGAAATGAAAATGTCAGTACAGAAGGGGATTCAATTCAATTCAGTTTATTTTCCCTGTCCTTTCTGTACATGTTTTTGATTCCTGATCTCCCATAGAGCATAAGAACTCCCTGCTCAGCTTCTGAGTTTAGGCAAGATCAGCCAGATACTGCCACCTGCTGAAACAGATGGGTTGAACAAAAGCTTACATTTCACTTTGTATAGCACTGTCAGAAGCCATATTTCATTACATTACTGGCCGCGAATTTGGGTCTATATCTTACCATTTATCGCCAATAACAGAAAAGAAATGTAGTTCATGAGTAAAGAGTTGGTTTCTCAGTGTGCTGAACTTGGTAACGTTCCACAAATGTTGTATTATCAGGCTGGTAGCGTCATCATATCTATCTATTCGTGCATTTATCATTTACCCAGTAATGTCAGTGTTTCTTCTAGCAAAATAATTCAGTCTTATTTTATCCACTGTAATTTGAACATTTTGGACAGAAAAAAAATACAGGGAAGATCTGCTTGCTGCAGTCATAAGACAGTTTTCATACTCTAAAATGAGGGAAGATTGCCTGAAAGATTACTTAGCAGGGCCAAGCAAACGGCTGATTATAGAATTGGAGGAATTTGAGGAAAGGAAAATGAATACATCGTAAGCATTTGGAGAAAGGATACGTTTTTGTTCTCTGCTTTTGCTCTCAAATACTGGACAACCTTGAGATAATATTCCCAAGAATATTGTATAGGCAATTTTAAACTTTTGGTGTTGTTGTTTTTTTAAAAAAATCTCCGCAAGCTATCCAGAATCCTGTACTTAAATTGACATAGAAATCTTGCTCAATAAATATATGAACATCAGAAAGAATAATGAATAGGATTAATCCCAGATAAATATCATATGTGTTTTATTTATTTATTGTTCCTTTAGTCATTTTTAGCTTTTGGGCAATTACCTGGCCTAGAGCCTGCAGTTTCCTTGGTAAGATTTTCAAAAATGATTTGCCCTTGCCTTCTTCCTAGAGCTAAGAGTGATTGATACGTCTAAAGTCACACAGCTGGAATTAGAACTCATAGCCTCCTGGTTTCTAGCCTGATGCTTTATCTCACTGCATGAAGCTGGCTTTCCTGGTATATGATAGGTAAGTCATATACCAGGTAAGGTAAATTCATAAGTCATATACCAGGTAAGTCATATACCAGGTAAGGTAAAAGGTAAATTACAGAATCACCCTGTGGGTAAGATGGGTAGCCATTAAATTTGAATGAATGAACGAATGAATGAATTCACGAATTCACCCTATTTTCTCAGACCTTTAACAGAGCTTTAACCCCTCTGTTTTTACCTCCATTTTATTTCAGGTGTAATATCTTACTGGTTTTGTAATATCTCAAAATCCCTCAAAGAAATAAATGCAATTACATGCCAGTTTGACTGGCAGCACAAGTCTTTCTTGTCTGAAAGTATCCAAGTACAAAATCAGGGGTTACTTGGTAGGTACATATCAAATTGACCACAATATGTGCATTTCATAACTGTCAGAGCAGTAAAAAGTGCTACAGAAGAAGTCATGTTTTTAATCAACGAAAAACAGTCCATCTCTATTTTGCAACTGTTGTTTGCCTAAAGGTTTTGAGGGGCCAGTGTTTGATCTGCAGCTCTTTATAGGTTGTAATTTTTCCCTTTTGAATAAGAAATGTATGCTTTCCTGCAAGATAACCTCATGGGGAAAAAACCAGGATCAATGCACATTTTCCTTTCCGCTTTCCTAACTGTCTTGTCAATATCACAACCCAATTTCAACCCTTCCTTTCATAATCCCTACCCAAAATTCTCCAGCTTGATTTTCTTATATGGTGCAAGCCCCTTTCTCCAGTAGTGTCCTAAAAATAAAAGTAATGTCACTGAGCAGTAGGCGAAAGTTCTAACTGCCTAAAAGAAATGAATCCCACCAAGAATTAACAGGGAAAGTTTCAGATTTTCTGGGAAAGCAGCGGTCAGCGTAATAGGTTGACACACACATTGGGTATTCCATCTGTAACATATGAAATGTAGTGCTCTCATAGATCCAGTTCTGGTGAGATGCTGAGAATTTTAGTTCGAAGATGCCAACCTGTTCTGTCTGCTTGTCCCGAAATTTCCAGGTTTCTCTAGAACAGAGGAATGGCTGATGAAACCCACCTGTCAAATGTAGCAGATGTCCCATCTCTGGCATTCAAGAAATTCCTACAAGAATTGAAAACACATTTTCCTTATTTGGCTTTATAAGTTCTTCTCTGGGTAAAAACCTTGAAGTTTAGATATGAAGATAAAACTGTTTCCACTTACATTTTCCAAAGTAAGTAGATCACTTTAGCTTGCTTTTTAAATTCCTTCCTATGACCTTTGCTCCATAGTATTGCAGATTACTTGTGATCTTTTATTTGACCTTGAATAAGAATGATGGGAAGGAATGTTTCAGTTATTTACAGACTGTACCCTTGGCAACTGACCAGCAGCTATTCTAAGTTCTGCATTAATGCAGACCAGCCTTTTGTGTAAAGCTTTGTTAAGTTTTTCAAATATTTACATCTGTAAGCAAATTTATACTTCAGCACAAATGAAGGTTTAGTTATCTTTCCCTATGCAAAGTTTATCGTTGTGTTTTTTTTAAAAAAAAAATCCCTACACTGATCAGCTGTGTCATTCGGCGCCTGCAATATTTCAGACTTCCTTCTTTTCTATGAAATTGTGCATGTAAATGCCATACAAATATGCACATTAATTCAAACAAAGGGACATAAAGATAAATGATGACAGACCTTGGATCCATAAGTGTGCAAGAAGTCACGCAGCTTGGCTGGAGAAATGAGAACAGCCAACTGTGCAACTGTACAATCTGAATATGGCAAAAATAAACATCTTAAGATAAATTGTGGGCCAAGATCAGAGGTGGGTTTCAGCAGGTTCTGATCAGTTCTGGAGAACCGGTAGCGGAATTTTTGAGTAGTTCGGAGAACCAGTAAATACCACCTCTGACTGGCCCCACCCATATCTATTCTCTGCCTCCCGAGACCCAGCTGATCAGGAGGAAATGGGGATTTTGCAGTAACCTTCCCCTGGAGCGGGGATGGAATGGAGATTTTACAGTGTCCTTCCCCTGCCACACCCACCAAGCCATGCCCCCAGAACCGGTAGTAAAAAAATTTGAAACCCACCACTGGCCAAGATACATATATTCATAAAGTCTTCAACTCTTGTTTATCTATGTGAGGCAACCAGAGGTGGGTTTCAGCAGATTCTGACCAGTTCTGGAGAACCGGTAGCGAAATTTTGAGTAGTTCGGAGAACCGGTAGTAAAAATTCTGAGTGGCCCCACCCCCATCTATTCTCTGCCTCACAAATCCCAGCTGATTGGGAGGAAATGGGGATTTTGCAGTAACCTCCCCCTGGATTGGGTAGGGAATGGAGATTTTTACAGTATTCTTCCCCTGCCACGCCCACCAAGCTATGCCCACCAAACCATGCCACGCCTACCAAGCCACACCCATAGAACCGGTAGTAAAAAAAATTGAAACCCACCATTGGAGGCAACCTATATGTGCCAAAACCAGCCCTAGTCTTAGGCAAGACGAAGTGGTCATTTCAGGCTGTAGATTTTGGCTGTCCAAACAGAGTCATAAAGTTAATTCACCTAATTTGAAATCATATTTTATTGCTGGGCATGAGAAAAGGGGAGTGGTGGGGTTGCTTTTGCCTCTGTCTCACATGCTGAAGTCATCTGGCCAGCTTTAGGTACAATGCCCTGAGCCCAGACTGGTGAAGAGAGTGGAAGAGAGTGGTACTCAGTGCCTCTATCTTAACAAAGCCTTCAAGGAATTGTATCTCACAGACAACATTGTATTTAGAGGACAAAAAAAAATCTGAGTACAGACTGCTATGATTTTTTCCTAAAATCTTTATTTTTCCTAGTTTCTCTCCCAAAGCATACTACAGGAAGTCCTTGACTTACGACGACAATTGAGCCCATTTGTGTTGCTCAGTGACATTTAAGTGCTTTGTGTCCCATTTTATGACCTTTCTTGCCACAGTTGTAAAGTGAATCACTGCAGTTATTAAGTTAATAACATGGTTGCTAAGAGAATTTGGCTTCTCCATTGCCTTTGCTTGTCAGAAGGTCGCAAAGGGCGATCACATGTTACCCTGGGGCACTGCGACTGTCATAAATATGAATCACTTGCCAAGCATCCAAATTTTGATCATGTGACCGTGGGGAAGCTACGCAGTAGCCGTAAGTGTGAAAAATGGTCATAAGTGACTTTTTCCAGTGCCTTTGTAACTTTGAACGGTCACAGAAGGAACTGTTGTAAGTCGAGGACTACCACTATACTGTTAAAGCAAATAGACTAAGGTTTGCTTTTGTAGTACGAACAGTTGCTCTCTCCCTTTATTTTGACTGGGCTTCCTAGATAGTGACACAATTCTTGAATTGGGTAGGAGAAATCCTGGTCAGTTCCCGGATAAGGCCCTCCACTTTCTTCTCTAAGGGTGAGCTGAATGTGGTAACCCGATCACTGTATTATCATATTACATGAAGTAAGCCATTGTGTCGAGACAATATGGTTTGTTTTGGTTCAATTATATGACAATAGGAACTGTGTTTTGTTAATCTGAAGATACAATAAACAAAAATGTAAAAATTGCAGGCTAGGAATCACAAGCAGCCTGTCAGTATCCTTTGGAAGGGAGCTGAAAATTAGAGGACAGTACATGTTACATGTCAGGAATTTCACAATCAGGAACAAAATTTGGAATTCTCCTGTTGAGGCTTCAAAGCAATCGCATCATATCGCTTTAAAAATATTCTGTTCCATTCACTCCCTTCTTTCCTGATTTTCTCTCCCCGCCCAACAAACATCTAGAATTCCATGTATAGATCTATAGTATAGATTATATTCTTTTAAATTTGCCTTTCCTAAGGAATTTTTCTACTTGAATTTTTGTACAGGTAATCCTTGACTTACAGCCACCTCTTTAGTGACCATTTGAAATTAAAACAGCATTGAAAAAAGATTTCATACTTACAACCATTGCAGCATCCCCATGGTAACCTGATCAAAATTTGGATGCTTAGCAACTGGCTCATATTTATGACGGTTACAATGTCCCAGAGTCATGTGATCCCTTTTGCAACCTTATGACAAGCAAAGTCAATAGGGAAGCCAGATTCATTTAACAACTGGGTTATTAACTTAGCAACAGCAGTGATCCACTTAACAACTGTGGCAAGAAAGGTCATAAAATGGGGCAAAACTCACTTATCCACTATCTTACTTAGCAACAGAAATTTTCAGCTCAATTGTGGTCATAAGTCAAGGACTACCTGTAGAGTTCACTCATGTTTGTTGGTATTTCCCTCTTGTACACGAGGGTGCTGTTTTGCTTACATAATACTCCACATTCAAATACCGAGTTGGCTCAGAGACTATGGTGGTGCATTCTGGATTTTCATCACAAATATTACAAGAAAGCAAATGACGGTGGGAAATATTTAATTAAAAAGGCAACAAGTCCACTTTTAATGAAATAATACTTAAAAACCAGTAGAAGACAATAACCCTCCAGCAAAATGCCCAGCTTGATTTGATCAAAGCTGCCTTTTTATTTATTTCAATTTAGTCGTCAAAGTTTTCTTGCTGATAAGTCAGAGATATTAAGACTACCTTTTACTTGCCTCCTTCTGAGTTTTTTCCAGCGGTCAATAAGAACCTGCCAGTCACTTGATGGAGCTCTTGGGGCCTTTAGAAATTAGAAATGTTGGTCCTTCAGACTACAGATTTTTCTTTTGGATCTCTTTGAAAGTATTAGGTATTAGTTGATGCCTGAAGAGAGGAGATAGATTCTGAGTTGGATTCCAACCTCTAGTTGACAATAAATGTCCATTTGAGCCCACAATTTATGTTGCTAAGTGAGAAATTTGTTAAGTGAATGTTGCCCCATTTCACAAGTGTTCTGCCCACAGTTATTAAGTGAATCACTGCGGTTATTAAGTTAATATCATGGTTATTAAGTCAATCTGGTTTACCCATTAGCTTTGCTTGTCAGAAGGCTGCAAAAGGGAGATCACGTGACCCTGGGAATATGAGTCAGCTGTCAAGCATCCGACTGTAAATCACATGACCACGGGGATGCTTCAATGGTCATAAGTGCGAAAAATGGTCATAAGTCACTTTTTTCAGTGCCGTTGTAACTTCAAACGGTCACTAAATGAACTTCTGTAAGTCAAGGACTAGGTGTAATCTATAACCATTTTGGACAAAGCTTTCAAAATATTCAAAGATATTTATAAATATGATAAATATCATCATATTTAATATGATAAAATATTAAAGCATAATTTTAAGCACATAATAACATTAACGATAAAATATTAAAGCATAATTTTAAGCACATGATAACATTAACAACAGCAACAAACGACTATGTCATTTCAGGACTGTGGCAACCAATAATTATATATATATGTATTTATTTCCTCTATGTCTCTGAAATGCAGAGGACAATTTAGGACCCTAGACAGCTATAACTCATCAGAAAGAGATGGCTGATAAGGGCTTCCATAAAAATATCCCTATTGCATTGCAGAAACCACAAGACAGCCCAAATTAGTTCTCAGCCACCACATTCTTTTTTAGACACCACAGAGAGAGAATACAACTACTAAAATATCATAAGGTCAAAGAAGTTTTGTTTTAATTGTTCTGTATTGTTTAGAGATTTTTATAGGAAGGCTGCAAGTTTACATTTTCCCACAATATTTTTTTCCATTTTTTTCCCCTAAGCATTGAGGGAGAAATGGAATTGATCACGGTGTCTTTTGCATGTTAGTGGTTAGAGTTGTCCCAATGGAAGCATCCAACAACAAACAACAATATCCAATTATACAGAACATTTATCTTCTGAATTATACTCAGGTCTATTATTCTATGTATTTCTGTATATAAAACCATGCAAAAAAAAAACTATGCATTTTGCTGCAGATTTTTTAAAATAAAAATAGGAAACCAATGCAGAAAAAAAAAATAATTGGAGGAGAAAGGACAAGCAGGAACTTTTGAAATTTGAGGAGAAAAAGCAAAACTTAACCTGGCATTTCTTCTCCTAAAAATGTTTTTGTTTCTCAGTAATAAAGTTGGGAAATTTGAAATATATCAATATGAAATGTGACGTAGTAATAAGCAGAGGCTATTTTCTACCTCTAACTCTTCCATGTTTTGTCAGATATTGATAGAATTATTTTGCTTTAAAAATGGTACAGTAAGGAAATGGGGTCAATTCTTTAAGGGCAGGAGAAAATATGAACCTCAGAAAGGTGCTGCTTTTGGTATTTCCAATGCAATTTTGCTAAGAAATCCACAATTCATCACCTCGTGTTCAAATTGCATTATTAGCAATTACTGTAGATTTCACTCCATACAAGGGTACACTGTACGAAATTCTTACATTTCAACACCAGATGGCAGCAAATGAATGGCTAAAAGGTTCTTTTAATACAAATTTGAAACATTCTAAAAACATTTCAGTATTCAGATCCTGTAAGTACTGCAGTATCCAAGTTTAAATACCAGCCTACCACAACAGGTTAATTAGATGTCCATAAACTTTAGACATAAGAATGACACATATGGCATGCCTAAGGTAAAGTAAAGGTAAAGGTTCCCCCTCGCACATATGTGCTAGTTGTTCCTGACTCTAGGGGGCGGTGCTCATCTCCGTTTCAAAGCTGAAGAGCCAGAGCTGTCCGAAGACATCTCTGTGGTCATGTGGCCGGCATGACTAAACGCCAAGGGTGCACGGAATGCTGTTACCTTCCCACCAAAGGTGGTCACTATTTTTCTACTTGCATTTTTTATGTGCTTTCGAACTGCTAGGTTGGCAGAAGCTGAGACAAGTAATGGGAGCTCACCCCATTACGCAGCACTAGGGATTCGAACCACTGAACTGCCGACCTTTCGATCGACAAGCTCAGCATCTTAACCACCGAGCCACTAGATCCCTTTTATGGCATGCCTAAAAAACCCACCAAAATAGGCCATATCAGTTTCCAAAATTAGTAACATTGTCTTCACATCCCACTTAATGACAAGTTTTGAGGCTTTTGTCACAGTGGGTATCCTGTGGACTACAGTATCACATTTTGACTATGAACATTTGCTAGAGCTTCATTCTTAAAACTCAATACGATGTTAAATTACTTGACACCTAAATTCCCATTTATAATATGTGGAAATGCATCTCTCTGGCTTCAGCTCATAACACTGAATCCTGCTGTAATATGTAGCTAACATATAACTTCAAAAAAGCCCCTCAGATGCTGCTTTTCGAATGACCTTGGATACTCCCAAGTGGGAGTACTACAGTATGTTGCTGCAGAGTTACAGCTTAACTTTTACCTCATTTAGCCAGAAATAATTCCATGTATTTTTAATGGAAGTTTCAGATGCTTGCAAGTAACAATAACATTATTAATTTCTCTTTAAGCCACTGAAGAACATCGTACAAAATTATTATTACTTATTTTCCATTTGTTCAGTAAAACTGACAATGATTTATAGAAGACACAGTAAGGAAAAGGGGGATTAAGAAGAACTGAAAAGATTTTGGGTTTTATGTTTTTACCACATGACCCTACATTTTGTATATATACCAAAACCAGGTACATGTTCAATGTATTGCTGATTCAATGTGCTTAGTTTATGTTTTTTTAAAAAAAATATACTGATATTTGGGAAATTAGGAACAGTGATTTCTAGAGGGAATAGATTGACTGCCCCGTAGATTGAGGATGATGGAAAATGAAGTCCAACCCAACCAGGGGCCATATTAGAGAAGACTTGTTAATCTATTTATGACTTATTTCAAGGATCTTACCCAATAACTCCAACACAAGATGCAGTGAATCAAATCTCTTTATTGATCAATGTTTCAATTACAGGTATGTGGCTGGAAGTGACCTCTGGATCTCTGGACCACGTCTTAAATACCTGGGAGGCAGAGCTGAGGTAAGGAGGGGTCAGGGGAGGATCTAGGTGGATGTGGTGTTAACCCTTATCAAGCCTGGGATGGACAACGGTGGGCATTTATACATAACATTATTATTACACTTGATTGTTTTTGAAATCCATTGGAGAAAGCTATACTAATAAAGATGTAGTTACTACATGTCTTCAACCTTGCATTTTTGTACAGAAAATGCCTTTTAAAAAGAGAGAAACTCGGAATTCTAATCAGCAAGCCTAAAAAATAAAATTCAAAGTTGCGGCTATTTATAAGATGCAAAAATCTTCTAGCACTTTCCTAGAAGGATGAAATATTTTGGGAAATGTTAAAAAAGACATATTATATTTCCCTAAAGGAGAAACATGCTCTTGGAAACCAGCCCCCACCTTCCTTAATAGCCCCAGCAGGACTGGGCAGCCTATCTACAAGACAATTAAATCTTCAGCTCCAGGGTGATGGGATTAAGACATGACCCTCCAGGACATAATAGGATTATCTATCAGCAGAGCTCACCACATGGCACAACCAAGCCCCTTCATTGCATCATCCAGCAAGGTTCAACCAAACTTATCTCAGACAATCTCAGCTATGACCCCTGCATAGCCCCCTGGGAGTCTGACAACCAATAGAATACATTTCTTGCCCAGGAACAGGAAGCTCAAGGGCAAGGCCCAAGAGATGGTATAAATACTTCTCTCTCTCTCCTCCATGTGGTCAGGTGCCCAGGACCTCAAACCCATGTGGTCCTGTTCATCAATAAACTCTCTCTCCAAACAGCCTCCAATGTTTCCAGTGTCTTTCTCCCCACCTGGAACTGAACCAGATGGATATTTCTTCCAACTATCTTTTTCAGTCCTAGTCATTGTGCTGAAAGGTACATTGAATGTCTTCTGAGAATCCTTACAAAATAACATTGCTCTGCCTGTCTAGAAGCTCAGTGAAACAGAAGCCAATGAAAGACAAATTCCTGGGAAACATTTGATTAATCGGAACAATGAATTGAAAGAATGGAATTCTCGCTGTTAGCTCCATCCAGTGGGACATTCTCATTATGGAGTGGAATTATACCAACTCTGCTCCAAAACCAAAATGCTTCCCAGCCTCCTCTCCTGAACATCTTCAATTTCAGCACCTTGTTCTGCCACCCGATGACCAATCAATTATATGCCCACTTTTCTTTCTTTCTTTTTTTTTCAAATCTCTCTCATTTCCAAAGCCTATTTCTGAGTCACATGCAGTTAAAGGGTGATGAGCTTTGGAGACGTGATTACATTAGCCTTGCTGGAATTAAGGGCAATTTTCTTTCATCTATTACACTTAAGGGAATTTTCTTTACCTTCCAGTTTAAACCTGGTGATATAAATCAGCAAATCCCTGCTGCTATGCCAAAGGGCTTCTGCACACACTTTAAAAGCCTTTTGACCTCCCCTCCTTCTATAGTGCTGTAGGGGGAAAACAAGCAAATACTTCCTTGCTGATGAAGATCTACAATGAGATCATGGAGTGATCATGAGATGTATTACTTATGGCAAATATGAACTCCCCAAGGCAATCAGGTAGGAAAACTTTACTGAACTGGAAAATAATTCCCCTCATTCCATTCATTTTCTTCTTTGAAGACCTTTGGATCTCTCTGTTAGCCTGGGTAATCAAGACCTTAGAGCAGGGGTGTCAAACTCGCATCATCACAGCAGCATCATGTGATATATCGCAACTTTCCCCCCTAAACTGGGCATGGGTGTGGCCAGCATGTGACGCATCTAGCCCACGGGTCGTGAGTTTGACAGCCCTGCCTTAAAGATATAGTCTGCTCATTTACATA